GAGGATATTACCCATCCTGGGAACTGGTGTTACTTGATGCCGCAGGTCCCTCTCTAGCCTCACCTCCTTAGTTCCATTACTATACTACTACATACTATACTACCACCTCTACCACGCATCACCTCACCTGACTCCCGCCACTATATTATATATATATATATATATATATATATATAATATATATATATATATATATATATATATATATATATTATATATATTATGTAGGTGTGTGTGTGTGTGTGTTTTCTTAGTTTTCTCTGTATTAGGACTGAAGAAGCCACTCGTGGCGAAACGTTTCCTTTAATAAATGTCCTGAACTGTACATAAGTGTCTTTTTCCACATCCCTAAGTACTGCTCGTACTCAAGTACTTTCACGTACGCGCACACTCAGGACCCACTGAGGGCAGGGCAGACGAATGAAGGTTCAAGGGTAAAATTTATCAAAGTCTATATTTAAAAAGTGTTCAAGCATATTTTGATTATTACACTAAAGTTGCCAAGTGAGCATCTTCGACGTACCTCCAAAACTACAATTTTTGATCATTCATTTACTGACTGAAAATAATGTATATATTCTAGTTTAGGTAATTCAAATCAATCAACCAGCTTTTTCATTCAGTTTCGCTTAAATTATTAGTGTTGAAAGTTTATTATAGGAAATGCGTAACTGAAGGAGAGACTCGTAATTCACTTTCAACAGCTTTAGAGATCATTTACGGCCCACATAAGATCCAGTAACACATTTAAATTATTGGGAACGTTGCAGAGTTCTGAATATGTACTCATCGGAGCGAAGGAGAGAGACAGAGATACATGATAATATAAACGTGAAAAGTATCTGAGGACCTAGTCCCAACTCTGCACATTGCCATAACATACTGGAGTGAGAGAGATGGGAGAATGTGTAAAATAAACCCAGTGAAAGGTAGGGGTGCTGCGAGCACAATAAGAGAACACTGTATCAACATACGTCGTCCAAGAATTTTTAAGAGCTTACCAGAAGATATCAGAAACACTGCTGGAACAAGTGTTTAAGCGAAAACTAGACAATTTCTTCCGCCAAGCGTCAGATCAACCAGGCTGTGATGGATATGTTAGCTAGCAGGCCACTAGTAGCAACAGCCTGGTTGACCAGGCAAGCAGTAGACAAGCCTGACCCAGTGCCGGGCTGCGAGAATAGGAAAATTCTTAACTCATCAAATGTATATCAAAGGTAATAGCATAACTGTGTGAAGCACGTCGACGTGAAGTTATATTTAAAAGCTATTGCGCCAGAGACTGAAATTACTACATTACCTCAGTTAGTCTACAACCAATAAGCTCTCAGGTCATGAAACCAAATTAATTTTAATTGCGAGTCACGAGCGACACTTGGCAACGGTTATTGGCCCTCTGGGAGATTTTTGACACTTGCCTCCCAAGATTAACGACACCGAGGAGCCCATATGACAGTCTTGAGAAGCTGGCACAAGGGCCAATTTGCTAGCATAATTCCTGCCATAAGTCGATGTCGTATTTAGCTTAGTCAGAAACAGATATGAAAATGAGATATTGATCAGTGCTGGAGAGTGGAGGAGGCCGGGCAATATCTGCCCAGTAATGCACCAGAATGGGGGCGTGTGACCTGCACATACTAGAGTGTATTAATTCTCCTGCCCATGTAATGCTCACACATTCATCCTCATTCTGTTTTGGTGTATGCATGTATGAATAAGCAGAAAAAATGAACGGGGACTCGAAGCGTAGACCTGGCATGTAGCATGTCCACTGAGCCACGAAGGTTAAAAGATTTTATAGACAGCACTTTTGTGACTTATCTGTATCGGGCACCAACTGTCATTCCACAGTCTCACGGTACATATATTCTCATACCCCTCAAAATCATATAGTCCATAAATTCAGGGCGTAATAAACGAAAGAAAAGAATACACAGAAGAATGGATGGGAACCAGAACCGTAGTCCTGGCATGTAGTAAGCCAAACGCACCACAAAACCACGATAACTTAAGAGAGTAAAGTAGTGTGGCTGTTTTCCATTAGTATCCACTTCAGTTACCCAGGATGCGTGCTACAACAGTTGACGAACTCCTACTTACTGTTAGGTACGGGGGGCGGTACGTGTTAGACTTGTTCATACCGTTTTTAAACATTAACGAAGACAGACAAGATTCAGAGAAAGGAATACGTAGCATCAAGGAAACTTTGAAATCTCTTCCTTGAATGCCTATGAATAGCATCCGATTCACGTAGGCATCAAGTTTGAAACCATAACAGGAATTTTAGGCACTTATCTTTTCCCAGCAAAAGTTTTAGCTGGAGGCTGATAGCAGCAGTTAGGATCAGTTTAACAGTAATCGCCCCCTCCATTCCCACACCATGGGGCTACCACCCCCTACCCTGAGATAATGGGGAAATGGGGGGCGGGTGAATTGCTTTACCTGCCTGCCCACACAGCCTAATTCTCTTGCTCTGGAGAAGCCCAAGACCGACTCTAATGATAATTGCTGCATTTACGCGGGGCCTGAGTTTCCTCACGACTGCTGGCCAATTTCTGGGTGTGTGGAGTTGATAGGACGGGGTGGGTTGCCGCTCTTCCCAACATGGAGTTGTGGGGGAGGGGGGGTAGCACTGGCCACGCCACACCAACACTGGGTCCTGCCCGGGTATTTGTGCATGTTAGTGTACTCGCCTATTTGTGGCTGCAGGGGTCGATTTTCGGCTCCTAATCTCGCCTCAAGTACTCATGAAAGGTTACACACTATCCGTGGCCTCTTGGCCCTTATCAGTTTATTCTTCAAACTGTGTACGGACCTTACTTTCCCAGCTTCCTGAAATACAATGTTGCGACCCCTAGACTGAAATATTTCTAAAATTCACGTTTTATACGTGTTAATTTAGAGCAAAATTTGGTTAACCGTCTATTAAAAGGTATATCAAAAATAAAAAAAACCCGCACTGGGAATATATGTTACTGGGTTAATAAGAGGCGAATCCATTAAAGAGGGGGAGGGTAAAATAGATCATTGGGTTAGTGAGTGGTGTATCCAGTGGTGAGATTGGTGGTGTTGGGTCGAGATACAACATTCACAATGTACGTAAACACACCGTTTATTTCTTCATACTAATCCTTTGCAACTGGTGATACACTTCTTGGCGGTGGGAGAACAAATTATATAGTAGTGATAGATTTCTGGTCATTAACTTATCTGTAAGGCTCTACCTAGACTTAATAATTCCTTGTTACCTTGGACTGCCATGGTGGCTTGTGCTCTGCCAATAAAGGGCTTCCGGCGGGGATTACCACTATCAGCTAACCCAGTTTAACCACTTAGATGACTAGTGGAATGCTGCAACACTTGCCACATGTGGGTGTTACAGTAAAGTGGCATAGTATGCACCCGGCTTGGGTTTAGGTGGGTGATGGTTTGAATCCTAGAGCTAATCCTTCATCCTATATCCTCACCAGTATTAACCCTGGCTCACTGGTACGGGCCTTCAGTTTTTTTCTTTTTCTTGTATTTGTGTTGTCTGTTTTGGTTAGCTTGAATTTATTTACACTAACGTAATGGGTTAAGGGTTTTCTGTTTAGTTAATTTAATTTTTATGTGCACTATTATAACAAATTGTGCTTGTGAAAATCTGGAATTTGTCATAAACAAACTTTTGTGTATAAAAGTGATTGTTAAGGTAGACTGTATGTAGTGGTATCAGTGCTGGGAGGGAGGGTGAGAGGTGGTGGTGGTAGCCAGGTGAGTATTAACAAGGTATGTGGTGTCCTTCCTGCAGCTGGTGCCACGCCTGACATCAGGACGCTGGACGCGGGGGGGCAGCAAGGGCAGCACCACGACCTCCTCGTCACAAGCGGGGGTGCCGCCCCAGGTGCCAGCCACAGCAGGGCCAATCAGGGGGGGTTCCCTCTCGAGGGCGTCCCTCTCCAGAGCATCCCTCTCGCGGGGGTCACTTTCCCGCACCCCGCAGAGGAACAGCAGCGGCCGCTCAGCTCGCCACCACCACACTCTTCACGCCCGCACCGCAGCGCACGACCACGAAGATGAGGTGAGACGACGCCCTTCCCCCTCTCACCACCACTCCTCACTTAACCTTCGGTCACTGGAAGCTGTGGGAGATTTATCTGTTACAAGCTTACTCAGCTATTTTGCCCACAACGTTTTTTTTTAGCTCCTGAATGTTTTAGTCTACATTTAAATTAATGTATTAATAGTTTACTCTATTCCCGATAGGATAAATTATTACATTCATAGGGATGCACTCAATATCTATGAGTCATGAGGAATCTGAGAAAATCAGGTTTAACCCAGGGAAGAGGATAGCTACAATTCTTTTGGTAAAATAGCAACTAAATCTTACTATAATCTAATAAGCGTTGTTAAATAGTCATCTGTTAACCTACCAGGACTCCTTCCTGTGACCTGTGTCGACAGTTTTCCTACCTTTATGGCCAGACCTCCCTGTTGATTGCCTGGTCTAACAGGCTGTTGCTATCGATGGATTGCCAACCCACGTACCTATCACATCCTAGTTCATATGCCATAGCAGAGGTAGTGGTCCAATTTCTTGTATACTTCTACTCATACTTGTTCCAACACTTCTGATGCCTGCTGTTAGCAAGTTGAGTAGCTGTAGGCTCATGGATGGTGACACAGTGCTCTCTTATTGTGCCTGTGGCTTCCCTGCTTTTCACTAGGTTTGATTCACACTTCCATATCTCTCACTCCAGTGAGTTATGATAATGTGCAGATTTGGGACCTAATTTGTTTAGGGTACTCCCCTAATTGTGGTTGCAGGGGGTCGAGACTCAGCTTCTGGTCCCGCCTCTTCACTGGGTGCTACTAGGTCCTCTCTCTCCCTGCTCCATGAGCTTTATCATACCTCATCTTAAAGCTATGTATGGTTCCTGCCTCCACTGCCTCACTTGCTAGGCTATTCCACTTCCTGACTACTCTATGACTGAAGAAATACTTCATAACATCCCTTTGCCTCATGTAGGTCTTCAACTTCCAATTGTGACCCCTTGTTTCTGTGTCCCCTCTTTGGAACATCCTGTCTCTGTCTACCTTGTCTATTCCACGCAGTATTTTGTATGTTATCATGTCTTCCCTAACCCTCCTGTCCTCCAGTGTCGTCAGGCCGATTTCCCTTAACCTTTCTTCGTAGGACATTTTCCTTAGCTCTGGAACTAACCTTGTCGCAAACCTTTGCATTTTCTCTAATTTCTTGACGTGCTTGATCAAGTGTGGGTTCCAAACAGGTGCTGCATACTCCAATATGGGCCTGACGTACACGTTGTACAGTGTCTTAAATGATTCCTTACTAAGGTATCGGAATGCTGTTCTCAGATTTGCCAGGCGCCCATATGCTGCAGCAGTTATCTGGTTGATGTGTGCTTCCGGAGATGTGCTCGGTGTTATACTCACCTCAAGATCTTTCTTCTTGAGCGAGGTTTTCAGTCTTTGGCCACATAGCCTATACTCCATCTGCAGTCTTCTTTGCCCTTCGCGGATCTTCATGACCTTGCATTTGGTGGGGTTAAATTCGAGAAGCCAGTTGCTGGACCAGGTGTCCAGCCTGTTCAGGTCTCTCTGAAGTCCTACCTGATCCTCATCTGATTTAATTCTCCTCGTTAACTTCACATCATCTGCAAACAGGGACACTTCTGAGTCTAACCCTTCCATCATGTCATTCACATATACCAGAAATAGCACTGGTCCTAGGACCGACCCCTGTGGGACCCCGCTCGTCACAGGTGTTCACTGTGATATCTCATTGCGTACCATGACTCGTTGTTGCCTCCCTGTCGGGTATTCTCTGATCCATTGCAGCACCCTTCCTGTTGTATACACCTGATCCTCTAGCTTCAGCACCAATCTCATGTGAGGAACTGTGTCGAAGGCCTTCTTGCAATCCAAGAAGATGCAATCAACCCACCTCTCTCTATGTTTTACTTCTGTTACTTTATTGCAAAACTCCAGTAGGTTTGTGACACAGGATTTGCCTTCCATGAATCCATGCTGGTTGGCGTTTATACTCTTGTTCCGTTCCAGGTGCTCCACCACTCTACTGATAATCTTCTCTATTACTTTGCATACTATGCACATCAGTGGCACTGGTCTATAGTTTAGTGCCTCTTTTCTGTCTCCTTTTTTTAAATATGGGTACTTCATTTGCCGTCTTCCATACCTCAGTTAGTTGCCCAGTGTCAAGGGATGTGTTAAGATTGTGGTTAGTGGCACACACAGCATTTCTGCTCCCTCTCTAAGGACCCACAGGAAGATGTCTGGTCCCATTGCCTTTGAGGTATTAAGGTCCCTTAGCAGCTTCTTCACCTCCTCCTCAGTAGTGTGTATGTCATCTAACACTTGTTGGTTAGCTAGTAACTGTGTTGGCTCCCCTTTTCTGTAGGTATAACTTGCTGGATACAAAAATTATGTGAAGAAACTGCCGTAACCTTTATATTGCTAATGACCTCTCACTACTGTTAAAGGATGTTCATAGGATATAGTATGCAGTTTATGGCATTATTAAGCAGTCACAACTCTTCAGTACCCTCCCTTCATGCATAAGTGGGATTTCTAACAAACCCCTAGCTGTTTTCAAGAGGGAACTCTACAGATTCCTCAAAACATCTTTGGATCAGCTAGGCTGTGGTGAACACGTTGTACTGTGAGTGGTGGGCACTGACAGTATGATCGATCAGGCTTGTTGTGGGACCAGGTTGCAGGGGCGTTAATCTCCAGAGGTGAATGAAACATCTTCTCAATAAAATGCCATAAAACCGCATATTATGCTGTAGTAACACACTTAACAGTATGCATTATTATTATAAAAAAGAAGTGCTAAACTCTCTAGGGCCATACAGTGCTGCAGGGCAGGGGGTGATGCTGGATCATAGAGCTGCAAGTGCTAGTGGATATAGATGCTGAATGTCGTCAGACCTAGCTGCTGTTGATCGGCAAGCAGAAAGTGTTGACTCTAGTTCTAGAAGTGTAAAAGGCACATTATGAGATTCTTATCTGCTAGAAGAAAACTTTAAGGGCAGTAACTCTCTGGCAGACTTGGAGGAAAGAAACGACGGGCATAGATGGAGTCCTGTAGAGATGTGGACAAGGTGTTTTCCAATCTGTGGCAACTACAAGAGGGCTTGCAATGCTGACACCAGCAACCCGAAGAAGGGAAGCTGGGTTTGGAGAGTATTTGCCATTAATTTTTTGTACTTTTTTCTAAACTGCATTCATAGAGGAAGCCAAAGTTAACAGTAGAAACAATCCCACTAGTAAGTGCATTTAGTTTCACAGATGACACGTCGGGTGACTGTTCTCGCCCATTTAAAATCAAGGAGTCACTCTGTGGTCCTGTTGTAATGATATCGACCCCATGCAGCATGTTTCAGACGCATTGCACGAGCACAAGCAGAAGACTACCAAGGCACGCATTTTTGAGAGTGCCTGCTTGAGGTTTCAGGGATAGAATATAAAGCCGCAGTTAAAACTGAGGTCAAAAATAGGTGTAACAGCTCATCAGTTAGAGGATGAAGGTTCCTCACTACAATCAGGTCCCAATTTGCTGGTTCAGATTGTGTACGAACGGTATACAATACCGACAAAATGAGATTAAGACACATGTGCAACATCTGGGTATCTTTATTGTAGACGTTTCGCCATCCAGGATCCCGTCTTGGCTACCCTTCCCATTTCATAGACTCTGCCTTCTCACAAGCTAAACGTAATTTCTTCTCTCCCAAACTCTCTACTCCTGGGAACTCTTCTGTCCTCTGCCTTCCCTACATTTCCGGTCTTTCTAATCTCAACAATTCTCTCCGTCCCTTAGACATCAAGCTTACTTTCCACCAGACTAACACTCTTCGCACTAATCTCGTTCATACCTCTCCTCCCTCTACAGATGTTCCTGGTGTCTACTCTATTTCTTGCTCCTCCTGTCCTCTTCAATACTTTGGAGAAACTGGCCGATCTCTTTCTGACAGACTTAGGGAGCACAAAAATAGTGTTAGGCTTGCCGACACTAACAATGCTCTGTTCTGTCAAGTCAGAGATCGCAGCCATCCTATAGACTGGTCTTCTGCTAAAACTGTTTTCCCTACTTCCAACTTTAACAGTCGCCATCTTGTTGAATCCTCTCTAATACACAACTTTCCTTGTATGAATCTTAGTCCTGGCTTCATCTCTGTAGATGCCTCCCTCTCCCACTACATTGTAAAATGCTCCAAACTTCAGAACACCCACGACTTAACCTGATTCCTCATTTTTTCTTCTTCTCCCTCTTCCCCTTTCCTCTTTTCCTTTTTTTGTCTTTTTTTCTGTCGCGTATTTCTGTTCCTTCATTATTTATTTCATCACTTCCCCTTCCCCCCACCTCTGTGCACTTGCTCTCCCTCTGTGGGCACCTAGCTCCCTTGCAGTGCTCCCCTTTCTTTATATTTGACTGGTTCCTCCTTAGTTCCCCACTACTACCACTACTACTGCTACTACTACTACCCACTACCACCACTACCTGCCTATATATAGCCGTCCTGCTCCACTTCTGGTTAGTGTGACTTTGTAAATGGTCCAAGTCGGACCGAAACGTCGTCGTAAGCTCCTCTCTTCCATGTGCGGGTTATTTGTGTATAATGCAGCGAAGTGTGAACAAAGATCTGATGGCATGATATACTGGTGCATACAAGAAGTGCATTTTTATTAAATGTTCCATCAGAAAAAGGTCTGATGAATACAAAATATAGCCCGAGATGCAGTGGATAACAGCGGAGCCTAATTTAGGTTCTTGTAAACAGACACAAACGGGAAAACTGGGAGAGCAACACCTGAAGCTCACCCCAATTACCCTGAGGCCTCGAATATTCCACTGTAAATAAGCTATAATTTGCAAAGAGAAGTATATTGGTAACATGAAGCAGTATGTGTTTACATACTAGGAGGGTTAGTAAAGGCACCATGTGGATGTAGCGGAAAACGACTAAGCAGTGAAGGACTGGAACACTGCGAAGAAGAGTTGTGTAGATGGTTTAGAAGAGTGAGGAGGAGTGATGGGAGGTGAATCGGTGTCAGTCATTGGTCTTGTCTCCTCATTTTCAGAGATACCTTCAAGTGTTTCAGAGGACAAAGAAGTTGCAGGTAGTACAACATCAAAGAAAGAAGGGGGAGGGTGAGTAAAGATCAGAGAGATGATGGAAGTTACCAAAGAAGGGGATATGATGAGAAGTTAGAGTTAACTTGGAAAGAAAACTTGGAAAGAAACTTGGGAGGGGACAGGAGAGGAGGGTACTGGACGAGGGGGAGGATGAACCTCCACACTTATAACAGAGCCAGTTAGAGGTAAAGAACTAGGCACAGAAACTGGAAAGGAAAAATGCTTGCAAATGATAAGTGACAGAGGGATTAAAGGAGATTGAACTTCGGGGATGTTTTAGATTTTGGAGAAGTTGAGAGGCGAAGGGAAGGTGTAGTTGTGGGAGGTCTTGTAGAACATGCAAGAGAGAAGATGAAGATTCAAGGAGAGTATGAAGTGACAATGTAGGGACCTCAGAGTCCAGGACTGCAAAAGAGTTAGTGGTGATTGTGAAAGTTGTGACCACAGAGGAGATTGTGGAAGTAGGCACTACCGAGGTAGGAGGCCTCTTAGTAACTCTAGAATAGGAACGTCATGGAAGCAGAGATGAGAGACTGCCATGGTGTACGTGAAATCTTTTTCTTTGAGGCAATGAATTTCTTGTTCTTTTAAGTAAACTTGACAATGGTAAAAATAAGCTGAGTGAGACTCATTACAATTAAGGCAAGAAGGAGGTAGGCTGCACGATCATTTGGTATGGTTGGCAGCACCACAGACTGGGCATTCTGCCATGGAACTGCAATATTTCATTGGGTGGCCAAAGCGCAATTTCTACACTGTTGTGGTGTAGGGCTCAACTCTTGGACTTGTTGACTGTCCCACAATATAAACTGAGGAGGAAAGTTCTCGGCAGTCAAAAATTAAGCAAGCTACATTGCAGGGGAAGTGTTTCTGCCCGAGGGCAGGCAGTACATAAATGTCCACTTTGAGAATTGGGAGGTCTTGGAGCTTAAGTTGCTCCAGAATGTCAGTATCACGTCCGGAAATCACGCTGAACAATGGTATGAGGCAGAACTGCAGTACCACTTCAAGAATTGAGAGAAATGTGTTTTCAAATTGTGACATGAATATCGTCTATGGGTGTAAATTTCTCTGCCTCCCTCCACTTTCCAGTTCAATACTCAATTCATTCTCTGTTTCCATTTAGCTCCCTCTCTTATGGCACTCTGCATAGAAATTGCATCTTCTTGCGAGTTCATTAGGTAAGAATGGAAAGATTGTGAGCCTGACCAGCATTTTGCACCATGATGATGCATGCATCACTCTTAAGAGCATGAAATGAAATATATTGACCAACATAGTGCAAAAGTGCCTTGCTGATACTATGATCAGAAAGACAGTCAGTGGGAGATGCCAGTTGAAGAGTGAAAAAACTTAATCTACCAAGTACTTTGAGATGTAGTGTGTGAGGGGAGTGAGTGTCATGTTGGTCTTTTCTGGGAAGAGTGAGAGGTAATCACAGCAGTGTCATCTGTTAACGATTGTGGTCATTTAGGTGTGGGACTGGAGGTGATCCATCCTGAGCTGAGCAATCTGAAAATCGTCACACCATAGAGGAAGAAGCCAGAGGCATGGTCAAAGACATGCAGAGGTTGGATGTATCAAAAGAGTAGGGCAGAACCTCGGTACAAGGAGTGGGCGACAAAACATTACCAGCAGAAAGTACCAGGATGTTAGAAAGGTCTGATAATGAGGTAGGGTTGTAAGAGGGTTCTGCAGCAGAAAGGGGCCCGGGAAGAGCAGTTTCATTGATCTGAGAGTCCATGGTTAGGTCACTTTTTTCTTTTGTTTTTCTGAAAAAAGGGGGGAACATGGAGGGATAGCTCCTAAGAGGAATGAAAAGGGTTGTAAATCCCCTTCCATGCCCAAGAGGACCTCAGTGCAGCCAGTAGTGCAGATATGGCATGAAACCCATGCTATACCTAACCATGCCAGTAAATGAACAATCCAGGATAGGAGCCTCATATCTACTGAGCCACCTCAGTGGGCAAAAGAGAGTTGAATACCCACCACAAGGCATACCTCCTTTGGCCACCACCTCCCGGAATCCGACAGGCAGCCTCCAGAGATACACTTGTCACCCGAAAGATACCCAAAGCCTCTCCCCAGGAGATCAGAGAGGGATCAGGACATCCCTAGATGATCCAGATCCTCTCGCAAACTACAGCACCACCAAGGACCTCAATAGAGTGGGATGGACAACGATACCCTTTACCCCAACCTAGGAATGCTTGAGGGGAGGACCCCAAAGACTGTAAATAAGAAAGGGAGAGGGGAGGGATGGAAAAAGTTGAAATGAGAAGGGAGGGATGTGGAAGATGGGGCAGGGAGGGCAAAAGTGGGGAGTAATTAGGTTCGGTCAGAGGAAGATCGAAAGGTTCAATTCCTCAGACCAAGAGCCTATTCACCACAGCAAAGAACCCCCCTTGAAGAGGTTGACAGTATGTAATACTACTGATATACTGTTTAAGGATGTCAAAAAGCTCAGCATTACATTAGGGCATTTAACTTAGCATTCTTGATGTGTAAGATAAGTTAATCCAATGTAAGATTTTCTGACTTAACTGTGCTAATTACACCTACCATGGGTTGTCACTGCTTTTGGTTTTATGACTGATCTAAACTGTGCCATATTGAAATGTTGGAAACCCAATCTGTGTGGTATGTAGTTTATGAAGGGGTATCTCGTGTAGTTTATGGAGGTAGGGCTGCTGTTGGGGCTGTGTGGTGAATTTTATGTTTGCAATTTGGTTTTTAAATTTAAAATCCATTGTAATAAGGGAATTCATATTTTTATGCATGGTGATATTTTTATAATTGAACTAATTTATTCATTGTTTTCAGAAGTACTCATTTAAATCATGTGGTCGCGACAGCGGGCATGGAGGGTCAGAACAAGAGGACTCGCCCCGAACTGGTCCAGCAGCCAAACTGGCTTCTTTGCGTCTGAACAACAACGTAGCACCTCACTTGCCTCCGGACCATCTTGTTAACACATTTACCACTGCCAATGCTGCTGCTGCCACCATTGCAGGTGGTGGGGGTAGCCATGACCAGCCACCACCTGGACCAGAAGCTCTTCTCCCTGACTACCGCTTAGCAGGTGACACACCCACTCTGCGCCTCCCTGCCTCAACAAGTGCTGTTCGTGGCCATCGCACTCACTCTCCCTGGAACCACACTTATACAGAAATCCCTGAGGGTGCTGCCACTGTCCGCCAAGGTCCAGTTGATGATGGTGTCGACCCAGTGTATGAGGAGATAGAGCGAGAAGGTCGGTCAGAATTGCAGGTCAGCGATCTCAGCGACGAGGATGGTCGGCGTCATAGTTCTGACATCTCCCGGCAATCATCCCGTAGTTATGGTGACCACCGTCCACTCTTACCCTACACCCTGCCCGACCGCCACTCTGCCTCCCACCATCACCAACCACAGTATGATCCACGGCTTAAGGCTCGTCTTCGTCACCAAGATGGTGTGGATGATATCCAAACCCATACTCTGCCTGATTGCAGGCTGGGTGTGGGAGCACCTATAGACCACACCATGGTCAGTCCAGGACACATCCTTCCCATGACCCATGCCACTATCACATCGACCCATGCTCTCCCTCCTGGTAATGGTCACATTGCCACACACCAGTACTTGGACACTGGGCCTCACCTAACCAACAGTGGTCAGCACATGATGGACAATGGGAGGCAGTTTGTTGATTGTATGCCACAGTACAACCAGGCAGTTTTAGCAGCCCTGGGACATCCTTTGCCTGTGGTACATCCTCTCAGTGAACCCAATTTACGGAACTGGGAGGCTGCTCAAAGGCATAGAGACCTGCAGCAGCTCCAACAGCTAGGCGAAATGACTGTAGCAGTGCTGAGTGGGGAGCAAGTGGTGTGTAAGCTGAAGCCTCCCCTCGCTCCCATCCATGAGAATACAGGAACTGCCCAGGTGGAGCGGCACCCGCCCCCTCCCACCTACAGCCACTGCTAGGGCCTCTGTACAGTCATAGTTGTGTACATATGTGTATAGTGCTTTAAAACCCATTAAAGGCCTTTACGCTTTATGAATGTAGTGTGTGCAAGAGATAAAACATACTCACGATAATCATTATGATAGATAATTTGCATTTAAGGATTGATAAACAAGTGGACCTGATTGTTGCAAACCCCCTAAGAGATGATTGCGACCCTTGACTCGGCCCCTATCCCCTGCTCCTTTGTGTGAATTGAGTGACGAGAGCAATTAAGCCCATCATCCTAGTCAGGTCTTCAGCAGGAGGAGTTTACAGTGTTAAACCCCGAGACTAAATTAATATGGTAGGTTTTAATGTGCCCTCATTACTGAGGATTGTTAGGGATCTTCCTGATAAAAACTAAGTGATTTTCAGGATGTGGCAAAAGGATGCAAACAAGCAGTGAAAGTTTTTTATGTATGACTAGCAAGCATCCCTGATGAGATTCCTCCTGCTGGCAAGACCACACTACCAGGAACATCGCAAACTGTTTTATAAAGTGACTGGCAGTGGTTCCATTGCGTGGATGTATTTATTGCACAATTTCGAAAATAATGTTGTAGATAGGCACAGTAAGGATGCAAAAATAAACAGTAAGGAAGTTGACTTACTTTTAGTGATTGGAATAAGTCGATGAAGTATTCCTTCAAGCAATACAGTATAACAGTGATGCGGCTGAGCACATTTAGACTTTGTTTGCTGATGTCTGCTTTGTTACAGAAAGTTGTTCATGGAATAAATCATCCAAGTTCAGGTGTTAGGAAACAACGTTGTCCAGCCAGGTTTCGGTCTTTTTATGTTTGTCCAATAGGCTGCCTTTTAGTGCTCTTGGATTAAATTTTAATTCTCATTTTACAAGTATTGTGAATAATTTTTTTTTCTACATTAAACTTTGTATGAACTACAGTAACATTAGTCTTCACTTCATTAGTACAAATAAGTATTCAAGCAAAGGGCAATGTATGTAAAATAATTTAGTTTCCAATATCAGAGCTTGGTATGACTTGAGCCATTTGACTGTTCTTACACGTTCGTTGTTTGCTGCTTGGCCCATCATCATTCCATAGGATCTGTATTTTCAACATATCCTAATAATGATTATGTAATATGCTTCCTCTCAGTTGTGCATTATTCTTTCATAGGTGTTTCTATTTCATTCTAACAATATCAGAAGAAAACATAATCCTTCATGCATTAGATGTCACACAAGTTGTAGATGTCTGTTTTGACACTATTTTTGTTGATGCCACATATCTGCTTTCAGACTTGTAGCAATAAAGTTTTTTTTTAACTCGTCTCTCACAGCTGATTCATCTAGTTCAGACAAACAGTATCCACAACACCAACACATGCAGTGAGGTCCTTGTAATCAGTTCTGTTATGAACATGTTTTTGTTTAGCAGTTACTGTTCTGTTATCTTATGTTGAAAGTCTCAAGGGATAGCCAAAAAATAATCTGTTAATGAATCTTCTTGTAATGCATAAGAAAGGAAAAATAATGCAACATTAAGCGATTAGGTAGAACATGGTACTATACGATTTTTTAAAACACATATATTTGACATTTACCATGTTGTCCCTAAATCAGATTTCAAAGATAACTTTCCCCAAGTAGACATTAGTGGAGGCGGAGCCCCTAAGGACAGCCCCGTACCACATCTAACTCACAGTAAAGCTAAACTTCGACTAGCTTACGTATTTCTGTGCCTCTCTCTCTCATGTGTAGTCATTGTATAGAATCAGCTCTGTTTTGTAATATTTTGTATGTAAACTGTGATACATGTATTAAACGAACAAGAATCTATCGCCAAATTGATATCAAATAAATTATTGTGAAAGGTTATTTTATTTGTCCTCAAAATTCCTTTCTGCCTAAGATGCCATTAACCAAAAGGTATTTATTATTAATCGTCAACACTAAAAAACCCAAGTTTTGACCATATTGGTCGGCTTGCATATCGCAGGTAGGTGTGTGTGTACTCGCCTAACTGTGGTTGCAGGGGTCGAGACTCAGCTCCTGGGCCCCACCTCTTCACCGAGTTCTACTAGGTCCTCTCTCTCCCTGCTCCATGAGGTTTATCATACCTCATCTTAATGCTATGTATGGTTCCTGCCTCCACTACTTGCTAGGCTATTCCACTTCCTGACTATGACTGAAGAAATACTTCCTAACATCCCTTTGATTCATCTGGGTCTTAGGGATGTTAGGAAGTATTTCTTCAGTTATAGAGCAGTCAGAAAGTGGAATAGCCTAGCAAGTGAGGTAGTGGAATAGCCTAGCAAGTGAGGTAGTGGAAGCAGGAACCATACATAGCTTTAAGATGAGGTATAATAAAACTCCTGGAGTGTGTGTGTCTCTCGTGCCAAATAGGTGAAACTTGCGATTTTGGCTTAAATAGCAATGCTCTTCTTGCCGAATAAGGCAAGTGAAAATTTGTGTATACAATAATTTAACAAAAATCATTCTGAAAAATGTATTTCATTGCGGTTGTTTATTAAATTATTTTAAACTTACCTAAAATATATTTAGCTGGATTAGGCTAAATTAAACTGCACTTGTTATAAGGTTAGGTAAGTTTTCTAAGGTTCTTTTGGTGCAAAATTACTAATTTTTACATTAACATAAATGAAAAAATACATATCTTTAAATATGTAAGAAAAAAATTATAGAAAACTTAATTTTAAACGAGTTCTTGCTAACTGACCAGTTTTACTTATTCGGCACGACACACACATATCTGCGGCGATACACAAGCCAACCAATATGGTCTAAACTATGCCAAAACCAAGGGTTGGAATGCAAGACACAACGAACTCAACGTCAACAGGAGCCTTTCAACTGGGTGCCCAGTTGAAAGCGAATCCCACGTCATATCTAATAATCCTGTTAACCACCCAGATGAGATCACAATCTATCCCTTAGCGTGGGACTAGACCCGTGTCCACTCTAGCTGACACCTATATTTCTCTGTGTTTTCAGCAACAGGGAGATACTGCTAATCATAAGAATACAGACATATTACTCCTCCCTTAGGTCATCTGAAAACCCATCTTGCATCCCCACTTGTAACGCCTTTTCACACTCGTAATGCCTCTCATAACTACCTCTAAACTCTCACAGCCCCCCATAATTATTCCAGTAACCCATTTCATAACTCTAATAATCCCTCTTATGTCGTCTCTCATAGTCCTTCTCATAACCTCTTAATCTCTCTCACAACTAGTATCAATCAGTTACACAACTCTTCTCATAATACCTCAACCACTCCAATAACTGCAAAAACCTCTCTCATTACCCCTCGGATAACTACTTATAAGAGTAGAGAGACTTATGGGATTAATTATAACTACATATAACTCCCTCATTACCACTCGTAACTAAAATAACCCCTCTCATATCCTGCAATTACTATTATAACTCGAATAATCCCACTAATAAACACTCCTAAAGCTCTTCTCATACCTACCCGTGCAACCATTTCCAAAACTTCATAAACACACAGCTTTCATAATCTCTTAATAACACAATCACTCGGTACGCTTTTCTCATAACTATGCCCATAACCTCAGCATAACTCCCTCACACTGCTACTCTAATAACCCCCCCCCCTCTCAATCACACCGCTTCTAAAGCCACTAACCCTTCTCAATCACACAACCACTTCTATGTTCACTCTTTGAATATCATGGACTCGCGTATCACATTTAATAGGGATGTTGAGTTTGGCTAGATTACTTGCATAACTTCCATACCTATCCTCATAACGATCATAACCTCTCATAACTGATTCCATAATCACTTCCACAAACCCCCTATCATAACTAATCTCATGACTACACACTACTACCATAATCCATCATAATTACTATCAAAAACGTCATAACTATTATACTTCAATAAACCCACTCATAAATACTCATAAACCCTCTTACAACTATTCCCATAACCATTCCTTCGCCCCTCTCGTAAGCATTCCCATAACCCCCTCTCAACCCTTCATAACCCCACTGATAACTACCCCATATCCTCTCAACCACTCCCATAACCAAATATCATAACCCCTCCCATGATCCCTGTCATTACTTCCATAACACCTCATAACCCCTGCCAAACCCATTCTTATAACCCCTAATAACTTTTTTCGAAACTATCAAACTCTCTCATACTCTTTAATAGTTCTCGCACTTTCATAACCCCTCTAGCATCCCTCTATAACTTCACTTGATCCCTCTCATCCCCTTTCAACACTCACAACCCCTCGTACTACACCTATAAACACATTTATAACTGCTTCCACTACCCTTCCTAACCTCTCTTTATCCCCTTTCTCTCAACCCCTCGTATAACTACCTCGTATAAACCCCCCTTTCATAACTACTCCCATAACCCCTCCTAACCACTCTCATAATTTCTCATATCCGCTGTCATGCCCTTTCAGTCCCTCTCGTATCCTCCCTCTCATCCCTCATAACCCCTCTTAAATCTCATCACAACTTTCATAATTAATCCCACAACCACTTCTATAACTCCCCTCACGACCATCATAGTCCCTCTCTTAAATCAACCTTTCTCATAACTATCATAAAATACTATGACCACCCAGGCCATAGTATGTGACCACCCACAGGTCACAGTACTGACTACCCAGATCACAGTACTGACCACTCAGGTCACGGTACAGACCACCCAGGTCACAGTATTGACCACTCGGGCCACAGTACCAACCACCCAGGTCACAATACTGACTGCTTAGGTCACTACTGACCACCCAGGTCACAGTACTAACCACGTCCAGGTCACGGTACCGACCACTCAGGTCACAGTATGCGACCACTCAGGTCACAGTATGCGACCACCCAGGTCACAGTAGTAACCACTCAGGTTACGGTATGTGACCACCCAGGTCACAGTACTGACCACCCATAGGTCACAATACCGACCACTCAGGTCACAGTACTAACAACTCAGGTCACGGTACATGACCACCCAGGTCATGGTACTTATCACCCAGGTCACAGTACTGACCACTCAGCTCCCATTACCTGACCAACCAAGTCACAGTACCGACCACACAGGCCACAGTATGTTACCACCTAGGTCACAGTACCGACTCAGGTCACAGTCTTGACCACTCAAGTCAGTGACCACCCAGATCACAGTACTGACCACCTAGGTCACGGTACTGACCACTCAGGTCACGGTACTGACCACCCAGGTCAGTACCTGACCACCCAGGTCACGGTACTGACCACCCAGGTCACAGTACCTGACCACCCAGGTCACGGTACTGACCACCCAGGTCACAGTACCTGACCACCCAGGTCACGGTACTGACCACCCAGGTCACAGTACCTGACCACCCAGGTCACAGTACCTTACAACACTCACCTTTATAGCTTCCCTTCACCTCCAAACTATCCAACTTTTCCTGCTTTGAGAAACTTGTTGTAATTAACTTTCGTAACTTGAGTGAAAGAAAAAAAAGAGATGTTAACTAACTAAAAAGGGGAAAACTGCGTCAACTGCAGCGACGGTGAAGAAGTGTTTCTTCGTCATAAAGTTTGTGTTGCGGGTCCTAAGTCGCCGCGGAGAGCAATTATAGTTTCCCCATCTTAACCAACAAAAAGTTGCCGCTGCCGCCAAACTTAACGAAAACGAAGCGAGGGATGCAAGTCAACGTGAGGCCAATCTAATAACCGCAACACACTCCACCGCAAAATGCTAAATGGGCTTCTTGGGAAAGTTCCCGGACTCATACACCTATGCTGAAGGTACTACTACTGCTTCTGCTGCTGCCTCTCGCAACTTACCTGTACAGCGTTCTTCCTGCAACCAAAACCGCCAGGACTCGATTCCCAGGTGGTCGCCTAGTAGGCGACAGGTTCCTGTATTTTAGTTGACTATTGTGACTGGCATACTACTGAAAAGAATACGAGAGACTCCACAAGAAATGAGTAACACCGCTGGTATATTTTGGGTTATTCAGAGTAAATAACCAGGTCATATATACCTTACCTCTGTTAGAGTGGTTCCTGCTGTTACTCTTAAACATTTAGTTTTAGAACATTATAAACGCATACCACTTTTTTTTCAGTAACAAGGAAAAAAAAGGTCCGTTCATGAAAAAAAAGAAACTTCAGTTTTTAACCAGTGATCACGAAAGTAATGTTCCAGGAACTGTACCTGATGTCAGGCAACTTGGAAAATCTAATAACATAGTCCTTGTGGCTTAGCGCTTCTTTTTGATTATAATAATAATAATAACAAAGTTATGTATACAGAGAGATGTCTCAATGTATATATACACTGAAGATTTACTTTAATCCCCATTTTAAGGTTATAAGTATCCTTAACTGTTGGCGTGAAGCTTTAATGATCCAATAAAGCTGTCAACTAATTCTAGAAGTAAAATGCCACAACAGCTCTCGTGAAATGTCCGACGATAAATGAAAGTTCGGGAACGGTTATCCTTTTCGAATTAAATTCTAGAAATGTAAATAAAGTTATATTCCCTCTTGCTGTTTGACACCAAGCTGTACACGAGTTAATTACATTTTGAAGTGTTGCTGGGCAGGTATTGCACATTTTTGTGCGTATTTATGTACTAGTTTATTCACGTCTCCACAAAGATGAGACAGAGTTACTTTCTTAGGGTTAAAGTGTATCTACTACGAGGGACATTAAAAAAAATTGTGTGAAAAAAATAGGAACCGAAGTAAAATTACATACTTCTGTGTGCGTGTAGTTGCAGGGGTTGAGTCTCAGCTATTGACCCGCTTTTTCGCTGGCCGCTTCTCCTTAAACCTCTGTAGGATCCCAACATCCCTGTGACTCCTCTGTGT